ACTTGCCTCATGAAAGGGGTAATTATTTATGGTAGATGAGTAGCTTAGCCAAAGTAAAACTTAGTTAAATATTGAAGCAGATGTTGAATCATGTATTCATAAATAGTTGTATCAAAAATTGGAAAGCTGTCAGATGTTAGGTATGGAACCAAACTAATAACAAAGCAGAGCACTAAATACGCACTAACCTGCTTGCATAGTAGAAGATCAACCAACATCTATGAGAAAATATTACTAGTATCACCACTTAGTGTGCAAGTGCGGAGAATTTTCCTGTTCAAAACTAAATAAGCTGAGAAAACAGCACCATTCTTCTTTCTTTGAGAAACCTATCAGATTCTGGTTAAAGTCACCTGTGTTTCGTTAATGTTTCACTCTTACTATTCTTTCTCTGTTTTTGTATTTCCCAAGTTGCATTTTAATTATTTCTGTACACCCTTCAGTACTTAGTATGTGCTATATGGGTTTGCTGAGGTTCAGCCCTATGTGGTGTAGGAGAGTCTATGAAGAGATGAATCGGGCTCATTAGAGCCCTGATGTCCCTTAGAAGAGTTATGATGCTTGAACACACAGATGACTGAGCAACTCAAGGGGTCCCCAGTGGATAGTGTGTAGACTATGACAGCAGAATAGTTAACCTGAGGTAAAGTTTGAGGGAATGAAATAATGAAAGGATATTGGAAGGAAGGAAGAGAGGATGGATTTAGGAGACATACCTAGTTAAAAATTACGATAATTTTGAAAATCTGGTCTCTAGTTTGGTTAAGATTTTTAGTAGTGTTTTAAGTGTTTAGATATCATTAGTTTTCTTTCTAAGCTTTCCCTCCACAATGCGAAATATCTATTATTAAATCATTACCTATTTCCGCACACAATACTAAATACCATATTATCAAATCATTGCTTAAGTGAAGAGTTTAATTGTTCATTCAATAATATAACCATGATGTTTCTTCAGTTGAACAAGCATGTTAAAATGTTTAGTTCCTAGACACAAATATAATAAATTTTATTACCACCACAGGATGCTGAGAACTCAATAGTAATTAAATAGTAAACTGTTGTGTTGCTCTGTTACTGCAATTAGTGCTGCCCAGCTTTTCTCTAATGATGAACTTTATGGCATTTTATTAGTAACTCGGTATTTATGTTTGGCCTTTAACAAGTTACTTCTTACACAGTATGGATTTTCTGTCAGCTGTATCATTATTCATCAGGCAAGGCAGATAATAGGATTCCTCAGACTTTTCTGACAGAATGTCAGAGAATAAATGCTTCCCTCCGAAAGGTTAGTCAAAAGAACTTTGGTTTGGCATTAGGAGAATTTTCACAGTCTGTCTGTGTTACAACAAGAAAAAGTTAAAATTATATCACTCAAATAAGATGTATATCTTTAAAATGTGAAGGAAACTATGGAGATAGAGCTTCACATTTCATAAAATTTATAGTCATCTGTTAAGGTTCCTGTTGTTCTTCATCAAAGGAAATCCTTCATCTTCAGAATTCGATGGGCACCATATCCTAAATTTTCTTTATCAAGTCCTTTGTACTCTTTACCTACTATTTGAAAAAAAATTTTCTTTCTGATTTTTCTTTTTTTGAATACTTGGATTTTTCTCAATTTTGTTTATGCTTCAGAGACACAAAGTTCGTCCACTACTGTTGTAGGTCATATTTGCAGAAGAGACACAGACCAATCAGTGCCAACATCCATCCTAGCTGAACAGAATATATAATGAAATATGTTTTAGTCCTTTTATAAATCATCAATAAATTCACATAATATGAAAATGATATGTAAAAACTTAGGTTTTTCTTTGCCTGATATTTAAGTAATGAAAAATAAATCACATGAAATTTCTGACTTACTTTCTGTTTTTTTATCATGTGACACTTGTAAACATGTGTTTCCTTTGTCTTATATTCTCTGTGTTTTCATTTTACATCTGTGTTCATATCTTTATATGCTCACAAGAATTTTGGAAGTAAGAATCATTTCCGATTCATGGAGTAGGGAAATTTTAGGAAAGAATTAGCTATTTCCATTTGAAAGATTGAATATGCTGTTTAAGTCTTTATGTAAAAATGTTATATCTCTGGAAATAAGCCAAAAATAGCTGAAGAAAGAGCACCTAGTGCTCTGGCACAAAAGAAACATTGTATTTTAGTAAAAAGATTTATAGAGTGAATTTAAACTATTGATGAAGCATAATGGCAAGTGTATCCCATACTCAAAGTGAGGATTTCTTTTGTAATTTGGCTATATATATATATATATATATATATAATTATATGACATGTAAAGTCAACTAAATATATTAAGAAAAGAAACCTGAGTATTCTTATTAATAGAATAATTTGTATAATTGTATTTCAAATCAGTTAATATAATTGTAACCTATTTTTAAGGTATAGTATTAGGAGTAACAAAACAGTTATAGTTAAATGTGCTAGTGATGAGATTGTTTAAATCCACTTAAGGAAAAGAATATATATATAATGTTTTATAGTATAATATATCTATATATATTTAAAAACTAAAATAAATTAAGCAATTAAGGATACCAGAATTGGAAATGGTATTAGAATTCATGTAATCAATTTTCAAATAAATGTGCAAAAATATTGTCAGTGCAAGTTTAACAGAGTAATATATCACTGCTAGGTGGCTTGCTCAGGATATCTTCATAAAGTATATGAGATTTAGCCTGTAGACTGAAGGATCTGTAAGATTAAGATAGGTAAAGTTGGAGAACTGCAATTTCTTTGAAATAAGTTGAGTTATATAAGCAAATGTACCAGGATAAAAAAGTTCAAAGGAAGAAGAAAACAAAGTAATTTAGAGGAGGAAATTCTGGCTTAAAGACTAGAGAAACTCCTACTAGAGGGAGGGAGATGATTCTGTATATTTAAAGACATGAAGAGAAATAGAGACTTTTATTTGCAGCGTTTTTGTTTTTGTAGACACATGTGGAAGTGGTGGGAAAGATTGATTAGAGGATGGGAAAAGTCTTACACAGCAACTCCCATCAGAACGTGAGGTTAAAAACTTTTTAAATAATGCAATCTTAAAATGGAATCTGTTATCTCTAATACATAAAATAAATAAAAATGATAGCTTTCTTAAAATATAATTTCAATACTGATCAGGCACGCCTTATGTGATTAGAGAATACGTGTGCATTTAACGAACAGTACTTTCCACTGTAAAAAGTTACTATATTCAGTACACTCAAGTATGAATATTGTTTGTACCATTTTTAAAGAGAAGAAAAGTAGTACCAAAAAAGAAAACATTAGAAGCAATACAGAGTTTCATTAAACAAGATAATAGGAGTTCAACAATGGTTGTTACATAGAGTATTGTTCTCTTCAAATTGGTTGTTTAGATCACCAGATATAAGCATACAAAATTGGACAAAAGGTTATTAAAATTTAAAAGGGAGAAAAAATTAATCATTAACTGTTTCTTTGAATAGACCAGTAGAAATCAGCAGTACAATTATCCAGGCTATCCTATGTATACGCATTTCTTTCTTTCTTTCTTTCTTTCTTTCTTTCTTTCTTTCTTTCTTTCTTTCTTTCTTTCTTTCTTCTTTCTTTCTTTCTTTTCTCTCTCTCTGTCTTTTCTTTCTTTCATTCCTCCTTTCCCTCATCTCAGTTGTTCCTTTCCTTTAAAAAGTTTCTGTCCCTTTCATAGTATCTATTGTGCCTTTTAGATTTTGTTTACTCTCTCAGGTTTTTACTCTAGCAAGACAATATAATGTTTACACACAAGGGACTGGTTTATTTCAGTCCTGGCTATGGTCCCTCGTTGCATCTATTTACCTCTAAAAGCCCCGAATTTAGATTTTTGTGTAGCTAAGAAATACTTCACTATGTAAAAGTATCACATCTTTTTTGTCCATTCCTCAGTTGTTGCACACTTCGGTTGTTCCAAGATTCAGCTATGACAAATTGTGTTTCTATTCATGTGAGTGCATGTTTATATCACTGTTGCATGTTTTCAGTCCTTCTGGAAAAATATCCAGGAGGAAGGCTGGCCAGATAGCTCTTTGGATTAAAGCATCTGCTTAGGCAGACTTTGGGACCGTGATTTGATCTTTGGTGTGCCATGTGGGCCCTGTCCCCAAGGGCATACTGAGAGAGCAATTGAGACTGGGCATGGTAGCTCATGCCTGTAATACCAGCGCTTGGGAGGCTGAGAACAGGAGCATCATTACAAGTCCAATCTGCATAGTGAGGACTTGCAGACCATTTACTAACAATATTAAAAAAAAAAAAAAAAAACATGAGAGGAATAAGCTGGGTTGAATGGAACCTCTCATTTTAGTTTTTGCAGGAATCTCCACACTGATTTCCTTAGTGATTGTACCAGTCTGTATTCCCACCAAGAGTAGAGAAGGGTTCCTGTTACCCTACAGTCCCTCTAGAATTTGTTGTCGGCTGACTTCTCTCTGGGGTGAGATGGAGTCTCAGTGTTGTTTTAATTTGCATTTCTCAAATCACCAATGATGTTGAACATTTCTTCATGTATTTATTTGCCATTTGTATTCCTTCCTCTGAGAAGTGTAAATTCATCTCAGTTGACCATTTTTTGATTGGGTCTTTGAATTTTGGAGGCCTTATTTTTTTTTCTATCTCTTTATTAATTTTATTGAGAAGCAAATAGCAATGAGATGTTTCAAATCTGATTAGTAGGACAATTTCAATAATTAATACCTTGCATATTGTTGTCTTCATAGTGATTATTCATAGAACAAGATGTCACAGAACAGACATGATATTCTGTCCAAACACTATTAGTACAAATCTTTCTTCCTATTGAAGCAAGAACTCAAGAACTAACTAATTAAGAGAGGGAAAGGAGAAGAGCTAGGAACATGGAGGCCTTAATTTTTTTTAAAAAAAATTATATGTTCTAGATAGAATTCCTTTGCCTGAGGGACAGTTGGCTAAATATTTTTCCCCATTCATGGGTTTTATTTTTTACTCTGTCTGTGATTTCTTTTGACATGCATAAACTTATAAAAAGGATGAGATCTCAGCTGTTGAATTTTTGTGAATTTTTTTTATTTTAAAGAGTGAAAAGGAAAAAAAGCAAACATAAATTATCAAAAACAAAGACAATAAACAATAACAATAACCATAAAGACAAGAAGCAATAACATACAATACATATGGTATAGAATTTCAAAATAAGAATTAAAAAATTAACAATGATTGTTATATAACATTTTTATCATCAGATCTGCTCAGATTAACAGATATAAGTATGCAAGATAGGTCAAATAATTAAACATGAAGACTTTTAATATTATAAAA